TGGGGAGGGAAGGGGCTTTTGGGGTGGAAAGGTTTCTGAGTGCAATAGACAGCAGAGCCAAGTCTGATTCTTCTTCGTTCCCTTCCCCTCCATCCGCTCTTAGAGTTCCTCCATTCCCTCCCCTGTCCCCACAGATCACCATCATTCGTCTCCACCCACGCTTTATGCCCAGGTTTGCCCATTCCCTTCTGCCTGTGTCCATTCTCCATGGACCTGAAGGCAGCCAAATGTCCGTGCTGGTTACCTTCCCTTCTCACCAGGGGCCAAGAGCTTTGTGTCTGCAGTTTGAGACTTTTTTTCATTCTGCCCTGGCTATTGCTCACTACACAGGGACAGAAGCTCTGGAGACATTTGTTGGATACCTGAATACCCCATGGAGCTTTTTGAGTACTACTCAGGAAAAAGTCCTTCCAAGCTACAGGTGCCTGATGAAGTATTCCAAGATGGTTTACAATAGGTGACTTGTCCAGACCATCCATCTTCACCTTTTCTTCTTCAGAGCAGTTTTTGGATGTGCAGAATTAATTTTCCATGCTTGGTCCCTCTCTTTCAGTGAGGCATTGCCTCTGCTTGGCCTCGTTCATGCATTCCATGGGATAACATGCCTCTGATTTTGTGAGACACCCTCCTCTCCTTTATTCATTTTAATCTTGCTCATCTGGCCTGAGAACAGCACCAGCTCCATAAACCAACTTTGCAGTTGTTCACAATAATTTCTGTCTCCTGGTGGCGGCTGCTTTTTTTAGATACAGGCTTTTTCTTCTGCATCTGTCCAGAGATTGTCAGATTTCTAACACTTGATTCAAGCACTGTCCTTGGGACATTATTTGCCTAATCCAACCCCACACAGCAGAGCAGAGGAGACTCTTGGCTCCCCGTGTTCTGATGTGTCTGAGAGGGGTCACAGGTCTCACCTCAACTTCTGCTTTCCCCAGACTTCCACCTTTCCCAGTTCCCAGGAGTGAGCTGCCCCCTACCAGAAACAAGCTTATCACGGTGACTGGCAGTGCTCTGGTACCTTCTGCTGCACATCTCTCCTTGTCCTTATCTCAACACACATTGCACTTTCAAAAACAACACTCAGCTGATCACACAGGAGGCAACAACCCCAACACAAACTGTCCCCACTCCTCTTCTGCCTCATCCAAGCCCACCAAGGTGAAGGCAACTCTCTCCTGGCAATGTCACAAAGCTTAAGGGTGACAATGGCCCTGGTGATATGAGACTTACAGCAAGGGAGGAGAATTTAGGGATGGTGCAGAGCAGAACCTATGGATTGTATGAAACAGCATAAGGGATGTTTCATGGGAAGGGGAAAGGGAGGGACTAGGGGAGGAACAAGCATAGCAAGACAGAAAGGAGAGAAAATCTGGTGGTGTGTAGGCAGTGGTAGATATGCTTGCCTGCCTCAGCAGCATGTTTCAGCACTGCAGGCTGTCCTAGACCCTCATTAAATCATATTCTGTGCGGTGGTGCTCCCTGTTCAGAGCTGCCTGGCTGAGAGTGGGGAAGATTTTGGTGGTTCACAAGAGGAAAAGGATAAGGAAAGTGTAAGGATAAGGAAAGTGTAAGGATAAGGATAAGGAAAGCCTATACATGTTACACTTTTCAGTGAAAGGTATGTGACATCTTGTAATTCTACAACTCATCATTTTGTGGTGTTGGCCCTGAAGAGTGAGAGATCTGGGTTTGGTTTGGTTTGTGCCTGAAGTACGATGACAGGAGTAATTTTTGGTGCTGGGTTAGAAAGAAAACTCTCTTTTTCTGATCTGAATAATGAAATCCTGGAGAAGGAGAATAAGATTTCTCCTTGTAAAGATTGAATTTTATCTTCCTAGTACAAACATCACTAGATCTCTTCAAAATATAAGGGGGATCTCTCAGCCCCTCTGACACTTCCCTCAAAAAGAGGAAAAAGCACTCACATGGCTTCCTTGGAGCAGACTGGGTTCTCAGATCTGTCCATTGCAGATCAAAAGACTCCTAAAGAGGCTCATTATATGTCATAAAAACACTCCATAGGTGAAATCAGATTCAGTTCTCAGCAGGTCCAGCTCAGTTTTACCTAAAATAACAAAATAGGTAACTTTACTTCTAACCAGATCTTTTGAATATGACATATTTTCAGGGGATAAACATGCCAGGTTTCTCTCTCCATTGCTCCTAAGATAAAAGACAGAATCTCCTTCAAAGAAAATATCCATTTTCCATCAGATGATTTTTCTGGTGCATGTCTTCATTCACTCTGGAGAAGGAGGTTCTGATGTAACATCAATAATTTTCAGGTTATGAAAACCATTCATAAAAGAAATCAAGTGAAATATTAGGCAGCAATCCTACTTCCCCACTACCTTCCTCCCAGCTATTGGAAAACCAAGATCATGCTCAGATTCAGTTATCTGTAGTTATCAAATTTCCCTTTCCCAACACCCCACCAGGCAGAAAAAAACCACAGTTAAAGCTGTTTCTGTGCTTCTACCATCACTTATTTCCACCTCAGTTGTGCAAGTCAAGCAGAGATGAAAGGAAGAGGCCACAAGATCAAGGTCCAAATCAACCCCCTAAATCTATGGAATCAAGATTTTGAAAATCAGAAAAAAACCCAGAGTATCACATTTGAAACTCTAACTCCAATAAGATTTTTTTTCCCCTGTTTCACTGCCTGGTTCCTGTAAACAGCACTGATTTGCAGAGCTGCTGTGAGCTATTGGCACTACAGATTTAATTGGTACGTGCTCTCTGGAGCACTGTCTCTTCTGTAAGTTTTTTTAAGAAATGCTGTTAATATCCTCTGATCATTTCACACCTCTCTTGTAATACAGAGTGCAGAAGTATCCACAGTTTCAATTTCTCAAGCTGCTTCACACACACCCAGATAACACATTTAAATTTTGCTGTCACCCACTACTAATTCATCTCAGTGAGCCCGGGGGTGGAGACTGAGGATGAGGAAATCAATTCCCTGCCAGTTTGACGCACACACACTCTGGAACACAAACAATTAATATGAGGGACCAGTGCTTCTCAAAGGAACTTCAAATCAGCAGTTAAAATGTTGAGTGTTAGTAAGAGTAAATGCTGCTCTTGGCTTCATCTAATTTCTTGGAGACAGTTGATTCTTCCTAGAACCAGCACCTCAGGCCACCAAACAGCTTTAGCTCCATCATTAGTGGAGGAATTAGTCAGAACTTTGCAACGCCCTAACCACTGGATCACCAGCACTAATTGGCTGCTTTCCTTTGCTAATTCACAGGATTCCTTCCAGTGATGTGAAATTATATCAAGAGGTTCTAAGCATATTTTTGCTGCTTTAAACTAAAATCTAAATTACTTCCATTGCAGCAGTACTGCTCTCTTTTAAATTAGTTCCAGCACCTAATAATTATGAGTAAAGGCTTGAGGTACCTGCTAAAAAGCATCACATGGAAACACAAAAACCTTAAGCTATATGAATGTATGGGGAGAGATATTGCATCAGTATCAAACCTCAGAAATACAGTTTGTCTTCATTTAAACCAGATAAGAATTAGTGCCTGGTGTTATTACTTAATTTTTAATAAGGGCAGTATTTAATTTTAATTTTCTATGTTGAAGACTATGAAATACACATATTCAGCAGTTTGTGAAGAGGAAGACCCACTGGCCTTATTGTGAAGGCAAAACACAGATTATCAACTACACTTTCTCATGTTTAAGTATTTGCAAACAGTTAATCAGCCCACTGAGGCAATGTCTGAAATCACTGTACGGTTTCATACTTTGTGTTGCACTAGGATTGTTTTTTCTCCTTTAGTTACAACAACAACAACAAAAAATCTGGGTTTGTTTTCATTTTAATGATGACAGTAAGTGCTTCATTGACTAAAAAGGTTCAATTCGTATTTACTATCTGTGCTCCCAGTTTTAACCCTGATGGAAGCTTTTATTTCAACAGCCTAAGGCTAGCATGCACAACCTTTAGAAAAGTGTAACTGCAAACAGACATGAATATCTAAAAATGTAATTAAACATTCTAAATGAAAAAGATCAGCAAAGGCAGTTTTCAATGCTCTTTTGCCCTTCTCACCATGCAATCATTAAGGCTAAAAAATACCTCCAAAATCATCGAGTCCAACCTGTCATCACCTTGTCAACCAGACTGGAGTACTGAATGCTGGGTCCAGTTCCAGCACAATTCCAGAGACAGTGATTTCACCCCTGCCCTGGGCAGCCTGTTCCAGTGCTTATCCACCCTTTCCATGTAAAAATTCTTCCTGATGTCCAACCTGAACCTCCACTGGTGCAGCTTGAGGCCATTTCATCTTATCCAGTCCCTTGTCCCTTGGGAGAAGGGTCAGATCTTCACCCTCCTCTCAGGGACTTGAAGACAGCAAGAAGAGTCTCCTTTTCTCCAATTTAACCCCTCCCTCAGCTCCTCACAGGACTGACACTGCAGACCCTTCCCCAGCTCCATTCCTTTCTCCAGACATGCAACAGCCCCTCAAAGTCTTCCATGCTGTGAGGGGCTCAGAAATGGATGCAGCACTCGAGGAGCGGTCTCACCCAGGACAGAGAGGAAGTCATTGGCCTGGTCCTGCTGGTCACACTCTTGCAGGTACAGGCCAGGTGCCCTTGGCCTCCTGACCCTCTGGGGCACACTCTGCCTCATGTTCACCCGCTGTGAACCTCAACTCCCCGGGCCTTTTCCACCAGGACGGCTTTCCAGCCCCTCTGCCCCGAGCCTGTGCCGCTCCCGTGCACTGCCTTGCCTTTCAACCACTCCCTTGCTTTGACTTGTGTACCTTGTCCCTGCACTGATTATTGCCCTCACATTGATAGTGCCTTCACTTGCCTTACAAAGATCTCACTTGCCTTGTCCCCCATTCTCTGCCCTTCCCTACCCCGTCCTTGCCCTCTCCTCTCATGCCTTGAGTACCTTCCCTTGCCTTGCTGTACCAATCCCCCCCTTGCCAGCCTGTTCCTTGTTTTTCCGACCCCTTCCTGGCCTCGCCTGGAGGTACCCGGACCCCACGGGAAGGGCTCCCGGGCTCGCCCTTCGGATCTCGCCGCCTCCTCCCGAGCCCCTCCGGCTCCCCCGGCTGCTCCCCACGCACTCCAAGCCCCGCCCATCCCGACCGAGGCAGCGCCCGGCCCCGCCAATCCTGTCCCGTCTTTCTCCGCATCGTCCAATCACAGGCGGCCTTTCAATCCGG